ACGTCATCCGCCTCTGAGCCCAGCCCCACCGCTGGGTGCGCTACGTGTCCCACAGCGACTCCCACGTCATCCGCCTCTGAGCCCGGCCCAGCCCCACCGCTGGGTGCGCTACATGTCCCACAGCGACAGCCACGTCATCTGCCTCTGAACCCAGCCCCACCGCTGGGTGTGCTTGGTCACCCTCAGCAACGGCTGTCTCGTCCACCTCCCCGCCCTGCATCCCCTGCCCCACAGCATTGTGCAGCGACTCCTAGGGTGTCCCCTCTCCCAGGCTAGTCACCTCCCCGCACACGGGGCTCTGGCAATAAACAACTTTATTTATGAGTAGAACCAACCCCCTAACCTCTGTAACAGCAGCCCAGCCAGGGCACCGACAGAGCCTGGCCTAGACCCGTCGACGCAGACTCCCGAGGGTGCTCACCCACACTGGGAACCCGGTCCTGTAGCCAGACACAATAAAAGTGCAACAGAAAAACAGCCTGGTGTGTAATTCCCTGGGAAAGGCCACGCCCAGCGAGGGCCCCATTCCCGGACAGGGGTGATCTCCCGCCTGCTCCAGCCACGTCAGGGATCCTGCGGGGGAGAGATTCCCAGTGAGACTTGGCTCCCCCCAGTGCAGCACGGCAGGTGCCCCCCCCCCATGCTCTCACACTCCCCTGCGCTCACCTCGATGCCAAGGATGGTGGAGTCGAAGAGGTCCCGGAACTGCTCACCTTGGGAGCTGTGCGAGCGGATCAGCGGCTGGAGAGGCAAACACCAGTGCCTTAGTGCCCCTCCTGCCACCAGCAAGCCAGCCAGCGTCCTGGCTGCAAGGTGGAGAGCGCCCCAGGGGAAGTGGCTGTGGGGGGGCCAGGCCCTGGACACCCCGCTGGACGCAGCTCCTGTTAGGGTCATCCCCAGCCAGGCTGCGTGTAAGGGGCCTGCCGCGGTCAGGCTGGGGCTCACAGGCCCTCGACACATCACCAATAGCCCTTCCCGCCGCAGCAGGGCCAGGGTTCCCCTCACCATGTCCAGGCCCTGGGCATCCTCCTCGTCGCTGCTCTCCGCCTGGATCACCATCTCCTCCTCCTCCATCAGGCTGAGCCTAGGGGACACAGGGCAGGGTTAAGGGGGCTCCGGCCCAGAGAGGGAGAGCCGCCCCCCAGGACAGCGACAACTACTCACCGGTCCATCCTGCTGCCCAGCCCAAGTCTCGAGGTGCGCCAGGGGACCAGGAGCTGCTGCTGCCGGCCAGGTGATTCTCGGGAGCGCTGGGAGCTGAACCAGGGCTGGCTGCAAAGGACAGGAGGGCAGCAGGGTCAGAGCAGGTTAAACCGCCCCCCATCCCCGCTGGCTCTGCCTTGCCCCCCATGGGTCTCACCTCTGCACGAAGTCCGACTCGGACCCCTCCTCTTCCTGCAGCTGCGCCGGGCTGCCCAGCTGGTGTCCCCTTTTCAGCGCTGTTGACGTGAGCATCGGTGTCTCCAGGCGGCTGCTCAGCGGGAGGCTGGAATCCCCTCGCTCAGACGAGTCTGCAACAGGAGAGAGAGAGATGTCAGGTGATCCAGTCCTGGCCCCAGAGTCACCCCACTGTCCCCTGCCCCCTACCTGCACCCTGGGTTCCCCCACGGCCCCCTGCTATCCCTGGGCTCTCCCCCCCATGTAGATAAATCTCTGATAATTTTCATATGACTTTACATTGTGCCTCTTCATATAACCCTGTGGTGGGTCTACCCACGTGTGACCTCTGTTTTCATGGGACTTTGTATTAAAGCCTCATTTAGAAACTTTGCATTGCCCTTGGTAGAATATTATAGCCCCTAAGGATAGAATAAGATAGAAGAAAAATTTCTTTTTGCTAGCAGTAGAACAAGAGCTCTCCCCCCCCACTCTTAATCAATTGCCCTGTTGAATGAATGAGGTGTGGATGAACAAGGCATGGAAGGCAGCACCTCCAGACAGCCTCAACTGTTGGAGAGGGGCTGGGAGCCAGACCCAAGAACAATAAAACGTGTCAAGTGGGCTCATGAAAGACAAGCAGACATACTGACGGCCTCGGGGGTTAGAAGCAAGCCCCTTCTTTTGGAAACACCCTCTTTGCAGCATTGGGACAACACTCAAAAGAAAGCAGCACAAAGGACCAATGGACACAGACACAGAGTTTGAATCTGGTC